AGCACTTCTTCAACATCTTCGACCGGAGCAGCTCTGGTTTCATCTTCCGGTCGATTATCTACGATCTCAACACCCATAACTTGCTGATTATCAGAAATTTTCTGGGGAATGGCTTCGGGTGTCTGAGCTTTGCCCTTCATGGGTTGTGTTACCGAGGTGATATAACAATGCTTGGCCACCTCCTGGTTTCCTCGCAGTGTTGCTATTCCCATGGGAGTTGGGAACTTCATACAGAGGTGAGACTGGGAAACCACAGCTCGGATTGCAGTCAGTGTGGGTCGGCCAATAACAATGTTGAAGGAGGACGCCACCTTGACTACAAGGAACCGGACCGACGGGGTCACATAGGTTCTACCCCTCCCAAAAGCCACATAGAGGGTAAGAATTCCTTCTACCGGAACAGGTTGGTTATTGAAACCATAGATAGGACCATCATACTTCTGCAACAATGCTGGATCTAGTCCCAGACTCTCGAAACAGTGGAAGTACATGATGTCTGGTGCACTCCCAGTGTCGACAAGGACACGTTGTACTTCACAGTTGTTAATCATGACAAAAGTGACCAAAGGATCATTGTGGGGTGTAACAACTGTATCGAGATCAGCAGATGTGAAAGTAATTGGTTGATTCTTCCATTCAGCATCGTCGATCTTCCTCTTCTGAGCTTGGTTTTGATGTTTAACCTCCCTAACATACAGCTTTCGCTGCTTAGAGCTCAATCCACCTGCTTCAAGGCCTCCCGTAATCATATGTATGATTCTAGCTGGTGGTGGGAGTGGAGGTGGGGTTTGTTGATATCCCACACCTTGCCTATTTGGGGGATTGCGGGCTCCTTGAGGCTGCGGCCTCTGTTCTCTGACAAACCTCGGCTGTTCAACTCGCTGTACATACTCATTCAGCATTCCCTTCTGAGCTAAACTTTCCAGTTCGGACTTTAAACTGTTACACTACTTTGTAGTATGGCCGTGATCCTGGTGAAAATCACAATATCTGGTATGGTCTCGACTAGCAGCAGCAGTTCGCATTGGTCCAGGACGTCTCAAGTCCATCTTATTTTTGATCTGCATGAAAATTTGTGACCTCGGCATATTAAATGGGGTCCAATTAACTGGAGGTTTACCTGCAGACTGTTGCTGGGGTGTTGAGTTCGGCTTTCCAAATCTCGGTGGGGAGGTCAACATCGGACCTCGGTTCTGCGCCATCCTCATCCTTTTCCGGCTCGGATTGTCGTCTCTCCATTCTGGGTTCTGGTTCTTAGAGGGGGGTGGGTTTTGTGCCAGGGCATACTCCTCAACGGTTATAAACTTAAGAGACCGATCATTCACCTCGCTAAAGGTGGTGGCAGCATGTTTGATCAAACTGTCTCTAAACCTATCATGTTTGAGACCAGCAATTACAGCCGTAATGCCCACAACTTGGTCAAAAGAACTAACCTCCAATACTGCATCATTGAATATGCTCATGTAGTTCTTCAGAGACTCCCCGTCCCTCTGTTTAACCCTCATCAACTCAGAAGTAGTTTTCCTAATCAACCTTCTACTGGAAAACTTAGTGGCAAAGGCAGATGCCATTTCTGTATAAGAGCTGATCGACCTCGGAGGTAAACTGTAATACCAAGTTCGAGCATTACCTCGCAGAGTAGAGGGGAAAATTTTGCAAATCAGCGCGTCAGAGGTGTTCTGAGCTTGCATGCAAGAGTAAAAAGCATGCAGGTGATCATCGGGATCCTTCGTCCCATCATAAGTCTCCAATTGTGGTATTTTGAAGCCAGTAGGATAGGGTTCTAGCGTGATGTTGGTATTCAAGGGGTGAGGTATGGAATTAGCAGCATGGTGTGGGGGTGGGGCACCTCGGTGTTCAGCTACCAGCTTTTCTAAGCTATCAAGGCGACGGGTAACATCATCAGGGATGGGTTGTTGAGCGGGTGCTACGTGGGATTGATCTTGGGATTCACTAACAACGGGAGTAGGTTGAACCGGTTGGGGGTTTTGTTGTGGAGCTGGGGGTTGTTGAGCAGGGTTTAGTAAATTAATTAGGGGATCACCAGGATTATTTCTAGCTAGAAGTTGAGCCAGTACCAACTGAAAAACACCAAACTGCTGCTGCATGGCAGCAAGCTGAGCTGTCACCACGTCTTGGCTGGCCGTGGAAGTTGAATTGTGAGCTGAGGTATGGGGTTGGTTTTCATCTCCTCCTTCTGCATGATCAACAGGAGGGAATATGGTTGGGACCTGAGGTGGAAATTGAGGTGGGATCTGAGGTGGGATCAGAGGTGGAAGGTTGTTGGGAGGTTGACCTTGCCCATGAGGCAGAGATGAATTACCAGCTCGGATCGATCGAGTGTGAACCATGA